CTTTGTTTTCTTAATATATTTGGCATTTCACTCATTACACAAAATCAGTGAAATAAGCAAGACTCAAAGGCTGAAGGAGCCAGAGGCATACAATGCCCGCACTCTACTGACAGTTGAATCAACTTGATTCTGTGTTAGGACTGGAGTTAAACTAAATTCAGTTGTTCAAGACATAAGAGAGATTGGATTTTAAAAACAACTTTAGAACTCTGGTCTGTTCTAAAACATAAATTGCACTTTTTATATAGTTGCTGGGAGAAAAGAAAAAAACCAGCAAATTTTAATATAGGACTTATTTCTTGGTTCACAGTGTGCTTTATTTACCCTACAATTACCCATCAGCCACTGTATGGGGTATGGAGTACCAAGAGTCAACTTTTTAATATGCCCAATGTACTCGTATCTTAATCTGGAAGAGGCCTAGAAATTTAAGACAAACTACTTCTGGTTTACATGGGGAAATGAACTCTTTAAAATAAATAAATAAGGCGTGTGGGAGAGAAATGGGAAGTTCGCTTTTGTGTGAAGAGGTGTATTTTTCTGAACTGTAGTAGTAAGATGCATAGAACCTACACAAGAGCATCAAGGATCTGTGCTGCAGTTGGTATGTGCCTTCTTTTTTCATGTCCTTGTGAAAAGGCATTTAGCAGAATTTGCACAGTCATTGGACTCTGACAGGCCACACTATGAGCACTTCTGCTGTGACCTCAAACTTGTGATCTTTGGGTTGTTAACTGTATGCCTTAGCGCCTGTGCCACCCCAGCCCTGACTTGAATGATAAAACATTGCAAAACTTATGATCCAGCCCCCTGACATGGTAGTTCTTCTGTCGCACAACAAAAACAGTGTCCGCGTCTTTATCTTTATGCGCTTTGGTATTTTTGTCTGTTTGGGAGCCCTTGGCTGTCAGGTGGGATCACTACGTGGAAGTGGCTCTTGTCGATTCTCACGTGGTTACCATTCTGCATATTGAGAAACAGGCCCAGATCTGCTTGTCAGTCCTCCTTTAGAAGTAAAGAACTGACTGGGAAATAAAGCAGAGTACAGAACAATTCAAAAATGCTTTCTAGTTGGGGAATGGTTGGTATTCTGGAAAGCATAAAGTATTGGTATGAAAAGAACCTTTAATCCATGTGGCATGTAGGGTTACCGCTTATCTGCACTGTTCTGAAAAAGGCATGAAAAGAGCAAAACCTCTTGACTTAAGTAATGCAAAAGAGTTGATGGGAAGTTCAGTTACAGCTCCTTGTATTCTGGTTTAGCAAACCACATTAGCAAGAGAGCATCAAGCCTGTCTGAATAATTGACTGTTCTTTCAATCTACTTTGAGCGTTAAATTTCATTTTGTGACATAAGGCTTATACATAGGTAGTTCTGGGTGGTATAAATGGCATCACATTAGCTCAGGAGTGACTTTTATTCTTCTGGGGCTGAAATTGCTATAATTTGGGCTGCTGTTTAACGTCCATATTTTCTTTAGTGTTAGTGTTCTCAATTCAGATGTAGTAAGCTTTAAATTAAGTTGAAAGGTAACAATTGATGACAATTAGTAGCAATGCATATAAGAAGTTGCTTCATTAAGGCAAGAGGAAATGTAGAAATAAAGGCATGCTGCAGCCAGAAATATTTCTAGAATCTGTTAATATTTTATTAAATATTGCATTTGGGCTCTAGCTCCCCTAACCAAAAAAGAGCAACCTGGGCAGATTAGATAGCATTTGCCTCATATTCTCCAGGCTGAGTTACAGCAGTTTCATTGCAGCCCCAGAATAGTGCTTTTTGAACAGAGGTACAGTGCAAATGCAGACCTATTTAAAAGGACATATTTTTAGCTTAGTTGTCCCCTTGCATCAAGGTTCCTTTGGAAAATGCTTACAAGGATATATTTTATAGAATGGAGAAAGCACCAGAAATGACTGGGTTCTGCCTCTCCCATTAAGGAAGACAGCAATAGGAAAGGGTTGACCTGGGACACACTTTGCCAGTACAGACAATATAGGTGCTACTTCTGTTTTCCCCTTGCTTTTCATTTCATATCATTGCCTCCATTAAGTGGCACAATTAATCTCCATCCTTCCCTGTATCATTTCTCATGTTTTATCCCTTGTTGTCCCAGTTGCCATTGGCCTAAAGATCAGGATTCTTCTGGTGGTCAGTCATAACTGAAGGTTGTTTTATGTGACAGCATAACACTGTCCTTCTCTGATTTACCATTCATCAAGAGGGATGGGCATTCTGTTTTGATGAAAACAGAGCTTAGACTTGTCAGGGACACTAGAATGCAAATTTCTTCCCTAATGGCAAGGAGGGTACAGGTTCATTATAAGCTCCCTAGGGCAGGGTCTTTTCACCCGTAGTATTATATATATTCTAATGATGTCTCAAAATTTGTTGGAGCATTTTAGTCCCTAAACACCATGGCCCCAGTTCAGGAAGCCTGCTTTGCTTGAGTGGACCCCATGTCTGCATGAAGCATCATTGAAGTTAATGGGTGCTTGCATCCACCATTGCAGAACAGTTATTGGCAACAGGGCTTTCCCCTTTCTGTGCAATATCTTTCTTTCCTCTGGTATCTTATGCCTTCAGCTTTAGTATTTAGACAGTAACTTTGACCCTTTGGCTTTCTTCGCTTAGAGGATAATTCTGATTATAATAGGTGATATCCCTTTTACATAGCATTTCCCACAGTTAAAAGTCCCAGTGTAACTATCTTTACCACAAGTATATAAAATAACTTACAAAAATTGCAACAGACTGAAATATTGAAATATCTCATTTTGCATGCATCTAACACACACTCACTCACTCACTCACTCACTCACTCACTCACTCACTCACTCACTCACTCACTCACTCACTCAAACAAGACATCCTGGATGCATCATAAATTAATTTACAGAATCACTTTTGTCTGCAAAATCAGCAAAGTTGAAATAAGTCATCAGCAGTTTGTTCCTCTTAAATTGAAGAAAATCATTGCTTTTAATTAAAATAAAAGGTCTTTAATTTGGATTATGTTGGCAGTTTGCTACATAGTGGGAACACCGGGGATTTATTGACTGAAACAGCTATTTAGGCTGGCTCAGTAAAATGAACTTGACTACAAGGGGAATTTATATATATAAACTGGTAAGGACTGCAGGATTTGCTTGCTTGTTGAAATTTAAGGGATTATGGCAGGTATTGAAAGGAAGAATTTGTTTTAGGGATTAGAAACCCTGGAAACAAAAATTCAGTGTATTTTTGTGCTTTGATATTTGAATACATTTTCCATTCAAAGGATGGATAAATTATAGCCACACTAATGACACCTATGTTTTTATAGTCCAAAAGACAGAAACTTTTACCATGTTTTATTAATATAATTGAGGACTTGGAAGCAAGATGTTTCAGACCAAAAGAATGTCTGAGCCTGTAGCGGAAGTATTTCTTCAGAATATATTAAAATTTTAGTTGGGGAGGTTATGTAATAAAGGTGACCTCTAAAAGGAGAAAAATTTATTGACATGCCTTTAACCCTCCCCCCCAAAAACTGTCAACAAAAGAATGTTTTCATAAATCGGGAAGAAGGTCCAAAATCATTTGTTTAAAAATACATATGTGAATGGGAGCGTTTCTGCTTGTTCTCCCATATTAGAATTTCAGGTTTGGTCTGCCTTAGAAGGTCCTACAATAACTAAAGAATTACTGAAATTATGAACCAAGAAACTGAAATGAGTAATACGAGCAGTGTATATTATCTTTATGTTCTTAATTTTTGCTACTGAAGTAGTTGCACTATTTAGGAGGCAAAAAGCTGCTGTCAAAATCTTTCAGAATGGAAAGGGTTTCTAGTCAGAATTTTTTTTTTCTGAGGGGGAGTGAGTAGAATACAGGAAAGTTGGGGCTGGGAAGAGGGTATGTACAGCTTCGAGTTAGTTTGATAAGCTTGTGACCACTTTTTAGAAAATATTTCTGATAAAGATTCAATATGCCCTGCCCTAGGAATGGAGGTGTGAAAGTGCACGGTACACAGATCTTCTAGCAAACCCACAAAGAACCGAACTTGACATTTCTGGTAGCTGTGGGTCTGAATCAGCAGGATATTTAAACCAAAGCCAAAAATTACCAATCTTCCTTATACTGCCAGAAAACGAAGCACTAAAGGGTCACAAACTTCATTTAAGTAACATCCTCTGCATATTACCCAGAAAAGAGCAAGATCTCACTTCTAATGCTCAGTGCAAAAGAACTGTCAGAGTTTGGGTTGTTGGTTTTAAAATTACAATGTAATAGTTCTTGTAGCAATTTTAATTCGCCCATATACCCTGTACTCTTTACACTAAAGTTTCATTTTATTTGCCTAATAAAAGTTCAAACTCAGTGTGTGCAAAATGAACAATTCAAGACTTACATTTCTCATTTGTACATTGCAATTTCTAACAGACTGGTTTTGTTAAAATAGATGTAGATCCCGGTTGCACAGACCCAATGAAGATACTATTTTGCCTTCAGAAGAAGCTATAAAAAGACATTTTCTTAAGAATATATGTTGTTAAATGGGAAAATGGCTATGCATCTTTGTTTCATAGCAGAAGCTGATAACCAGCTGGTGCTAACACTCATTTGCAATTTCATGTTCTTCTGCTTTGATATAAGATGCCAAATCTTATTCCCCAACCTGCTTAGAGCTACTAACAAGTTGGTAGTCTCCATTTCTTCTCTGTTCTCTGGGGGTTTTTTGTGTTTTGTTTTGTTTTAAGTCCATTACTTGAGAAATAAAATTAACTACCTGGGTAAAATTTAGAATATGGTGCCACTTTTGTATTTGAGCAACGGAGTTGCACAAAACGTGTTAAGGATTGCTATTAATTAGCCTCAGTCTGTTTTTTAGGGTTATGGGGGGGGAGGGGCGGAGAGGACATTGTCAGAGGAAAACCTGCAAGCTGTTTTCTGTATTCAGATTTGTTTTGTAGCAGAAGTTATATCATCACGTCTTTAACCCATCTGTTTTCCACAGCTTGCCCCGCGAGAGAAAGCAGCTATGAATTACAACCAAAAGCTGAAGGAGAAGTTCCAGCACCATCCCCAAATCAAGCGCATAGCTCGTCACCGTCACCTACCCAAAGCCATCTATAGCCAGGCCAAGGAGCAACGTGTCATGAGGGAAGCTCGTCGGCGAAAGTAAGTTTCCTCTATGGTTTTTTTTAATTTCCAGTTTGTTTTAGTAAAACATGCTGTTACGATACTGTAACAATATTGCATGGGGCCTCAACAAGGGAGCAGCTCATGTAAAAAACTGATATGGATTTGGACAAATGAATATCAGTTATTGGATTAATAATCTTTAGTTTTGTATAAAGTGCAGGCCAGCTTGCCAGGAGTAGCAAGGGGGACCAACTTATTCCCCAGGCCCTCTGAGGAGTTGGAAAGAATATCAGATTGTGGGGAGGCCTCATTCCCTTCCCAAATCTTCTGTGGACTCTAATGATAGAAGGATTAGTCTTAATTGTGAAGGCAGGATCACATTTAACTTTCTGAGGTGCCAGGCTCAGAATTTTTATGAAAGACTTTTTCATTCCCATGAGGCATCTGTACAGCTACCCTAAGAGCAGTAGAGGGTAGAGTCCAAAACACCTGGGTTCCCTTTCCTGTGCCAGTGGAAGAGGAAACATTGGCATATGCAGAGACAGAGAATAGAGGAGTGGGTGGGTCTGAGCAGGTTTATTGTTACTCTGGTCCTGGTACCCTTCCTAGCCAAAGGACCACCCACCCCACCCCACTCCACCCCCACTTTTATAAATGTCTGCAGAAAGTCTAGTTTATAATTAAAAATAACCAACAAAACCCAGTGTTCCTGCTCTAGAAGGGAGGGTCTGTTTAAAAATATGGACTTTTTCTAAGTGTAACAGATTTTCAAATTTTGAATGCAAATATTCATAGTTTCATAGTTTCTAGGGTCAGAAGGGAC